CTCCTCACTCTTCCTCCTCCCCTCCTCTTCTCCTCCCTCCTCCTCCTCCTCCTCCTCTTCCTCCTCCTTCTCCTCCTTCTCCTCCTCCTCCTCCTCCTCCTCCTCCTCCTCCTCCTCCTCCTCTTCCTCCTCCTCCTCCTCCTTCTATCTCTACCTCCTCCTCCTCTCATTCTCCTCTCCCCTCTCCTCCTACTACTCTCTCTACTCCTCCTCTCCTCCTCTACTACTAACTACTACTACTACTACTACTGCTACTACTACTTACTACTACTACTACTACTGCTACTACTGCTACTACTACTACTGCTACTACTACTACTACTGCTACTACTACTACTATTACTACTACTATGCTACTACTACTACTACTACTACTACTACTACTACTACTACTACTATACCACTACTACTATCCTACTACTACTACTACTACTACTACTGCTACTACTACTACTACTACTACTACTATTACTACTACTTCTACTATTAATAATAATAAAAATAATAATAGTAATACTGCTACTATTACTACTGTCTCATTTCAGATTAATTCACCTTAAGATTTGTCTATTACAGCAGCAAAGGTTGTGTATCACCACAACAACTTGTATCATCCTGGTAGTGCACTTACAGTTAGCACAGGAATACATCACAAACTTCAAGCTGGGTGTAAAGAGGACCACAGGTGTGTGGAACCATAGGTGTAGGTCCACAGGTGTGTGGGACCACAGGTGTGTGGGTCCACAGGTGTGTGGGACCACAGGTGTGGGACCACAGGTGTGTGGGACCACAGGTGTGGGACCACAGGTGTGAAGGATAACTTTAACAATGACCAGGTCTTGTTCAAGGCAGTCGGCTTGCTTCTGAATGCAGTACAAAATGCAACATTTGGGTGAATGTTGCAAGAGGCGAGGAAAAACGTGACAGTGTGTGGACGGGATAGAAGAAGTGGAAAGAAGGGCGATTAGGAAAGAGGGAGGGAGGAGAGGAGGAGGAGGGATGAAGGAAGGGGAGAGTGGAGAGAGAGAGAGGAGGAAGAGAGAGAGAGAGAGGAGAGAGAGAGAGAGAGAGAGAGAGAGGAGAGAGAGAGAGAGAGAGAGAGAGAGAGAGAGAGAGAGAGAACAGTAGGTCACATCCGAAAATACTCAGTTCGAATTAAAACAAGTAAACTTAAAACTGTAGATAAGACCAGCTGGTTAAAATACTTTTCCTCAGCAAATGTCAAGAGCGTACTATAAAAACCTGGGCGAGGTAACCAGGTATACATGCTTCTAGCAGCCAGATAACATCACTCCCAGTGAATCTTGAGTAGATTCATCCACTCACTGGACAACTGAACTAGACAGGATATGAGATCACACACGCACAAAAAGAGTAGTGAAGTGATCTTAGATATTAACTAGATATGCTACGGTCGCTTCGCAAACCGAGAAAGGTGTGTACCGTATAGCGTAAGCACCGTCTCCTGTATGTCAAGGTACACAAAGGCAACTGTACAGAACTCGACATAAGTTTCAAACGTAGCCAAATGTCATTGTTGAAGATCTGAAGAGAATCGGAAGTGACATTTATGTCATAACATGGAAATCAGCATCCTAGTATCTTCAATATAATGAGTAGGTTAACACCTACACATTCAAAAGCAGTCCAAGGCTTCTACTTAATAAGATACAGCTTCAAACGTAGCCTGGGTGCATATTGAGACACTGGTCTGTTTGAGGAAGCTCGATAAAGCTTCTTCTTGAGATCGTGTAACTTATTTAGTCGAAAGTTCAGATTGGTTTGGGAGTGTGTAGGCGCCTGTTTGCCATTTTCATTGAAGAAATTGTGATATTACTTTCCATGTGATGACTTGTGAGGAGTGAGACAACTGGTAGATGAGGGGGCTGTCTTGCTAGGGCCTGCAGGTCCACTGCAGTGCTACTCTCAACTGTTGCTACGTGGGAAGACAATCTAGAAGTTTCTTGGTAAGAAGCTCAGCTATGTTGTAGAAGCTGTTCTCGTTAAAATGATTGGATACGTTAACGAGTACTGATTCCGGGATGTGCGTCTTTGGGTGTCTTCTTCCTTGTTGTTAAGTAGTGCGCCCTTGTAACTCATTATCCAGGTCGTTAAATCTGTTGGCGTATTTGTTCGGAAAGGCTTATGTGGAGGTCCCTGTATGTTTCACCTACCGAATGAATATTTTGTCACAGTCTTTGCAAAATATTGTGTAATCCTGCCGTGTTGATTTTTGAGGCATCTTTCCTTACTTATGTCCTTTGATCGTAGTAAAGGCAGTGGCACCTTCTTGGAATTTGGTGTTTGAGGGACTATTGACAATAGAGTATCAATCAGTCATCTGTGTTTCTGTCTCCATGTGCGTTATTATTAAGCATTGAGTAAGTTCTTTCGGTGTTGTTTTGTCTGGGTGAGTTAGTGACGTTATGTACACTACGTCTGCAATTCTTGATGAGGTGTCGAGGGTAGTGAAGTTTAGAAACAACTTGTGAAGGAAAGAACATTTTTCTTCTTGGAATTCGCTACGCAGATGCAGGAAGCATATGGAAGAAGCCTATGATGACCCCGCGTTTAGTCTTGGTATCATGGTGAGACTGGAAGTAAAACAGATTGTGTTGGTTGATAGATTTGTAGTAGACTTCGAAATGTAGCTAATAGATTTTCATGATAGAACTTCAAGGAAAGAGAGAGAGTGCCGGTGACTTCGTCTTCAAGTGTAAACTGGATGGATAGCTCGACCTGGTTAAGCGGACGTTGAAGGTCTTGGACGTCGAATCTTTTAGCAATGACGATTAATTTATCCTCGATTTAGCGAAGCCAGATGACTGACGACGGGATAATGGAGAAAAAAAACGTTCATTTTCAAAATGTTAGGAGGGGATGTTCAGCAGCACAGCACTCAGTTAGGAACCCATAGGTAGGCCTGAAGTCTGTTGAAAAAAGAGACTCGTCACAGGAGTAAAGGTTAAATTCAACAAGTAGTTTGATGAGGTTTAAAAAGTCACAAACTGAAATGGGTAAGTTGAGGGAGCCATCAATCTTCTGGTGAAGGAGGTCGATGGCTTGCGAAGTGGACATCTTAGTGAGCATGGTGGCCACGTCGAAGCTTTGAGTGTTTCTTGTTTTTAATGTTCAAGTTGTGGACGTTGTTGAGGATGTGACCAGTGTTTAAGATATGTATGACTGATGGTGGTCAAGAGCTTGGCTAGGTCTTCTGCTAGTATTCTTGCTAGTTTGTGGGGAGGGTGCTGCCTATTCCAGAGATGGGTCTTAGTGAAATTCCTTTTTCGTTGGTCTTCAGCTTGATGAAGTTTCTGGGGATGGTGAGGAGTTTCTTGTAGAAAATTATATAGTTTGTAAAGTGCAAAACGTATGATTTAATAATAATAATAATAATAATAATAATAATAATAATAATAATAATAATAATAATAATAATAATAATAATAATAATAATAATAATAATAATCAATAACCCTCATGGTTAATGAAGCAAACTATGATATAACCACGAAACAACTACGACAGTGTGAGAGTAAATCACTGTTTCTTGTATTTGTAACTATACCATCCTCTTCACCATCGTCACCACCATCCCGTTCCCCACCATCATCACCACCATCCCCACCACCACAACCCCATTCCCCACCATCATCACCACCACCACCACCCCGTTCCCGACCATTATCATCACCATCCCCACCACCACCACCCCGTTCCCCACCATCATCACCACCTTCCCCACCACCACCACCCCGTTTCCCACCATCATCACCACCATCCCCACCACCACCACCCCGTTCCCCACCATCATCACCACCATCCCCACCACCACCACCCCGTTCCCCACCATCATCACCACCATCACATCACCACCAAAACCACCCTCACCTATCACCACTATCACCACCATCACCACCACCACACTCACCAACACCACACTCACCACCACCACCACCACCACACTCACCATCACCACCACCATCACCATCACCACCAAAACCATCATCACCACCGCCCTCATCTACCACCATTATCACCACCATCACCACCACCACACTCACCACCACCACACTCACCACCACCACACTCACCACCACCACCACCACACCACACCCACCACCACCACACTCACCACCACCACCACCACCACCACACTCACCACCACCATCACATCACCACCACGAACACCACACTCCTCACCACCATCACCTCCCACACCACCACCACACTCACCACCACCACACTCACCATCACCACCACACCACCACCACCACCACACTCACCATCACCACCACCACCACACTCACCACCACCACCACCACACTCACCATCACCACCACCACCACACACATCACCATCACCCACACACTCACCACCACGAACACCACACTCATCACCACCACCACACTCATCACCACCACCACACTCACCACCACCACACTCACCACCACACACTCACCACCACCACCACCACACTCACCATCACCACCACCACCACCACACTCACCACCACCACCACCACCACACTCACCATCACCACCACCACCACACTCACCATCACCACCACCAACCACACCACCACACTCACCATCACCACCACACTCACCATCACCACCACACTCACCACCACACTCACCACCACGAACACCACACTCCTCACCACCATCACCTCTCCCACACCACCACCACACTCACCATCACCACCACCCCCCACCACACTCACCACACACCACACCACCACCACCTCACCACACCACCACCACCCCACCACATCACCATCACCACCACCACCACACTCACCATCACCACCACACACACCACCATAAACCACCACCACCACCACACTCACCATCACCACCACTACCACACTCACCATCACCACCACCACCACCACACTCACCATCACCACCACACTCACCACCACGAACACCACACTCCTCACCACCATCACCTCTCCCACACCACCACCACCACTTCTCAGTACCTGTCATACACAGGAGCTGCTGAAGACGCTGTACGGGTACAGCTCGCGGGGTGCAGCTATGCTACTCTTCGTACTCAAGTACTCAGCCAGCTCCCACTACAACACCTTCACCTACCACCTGGACGGAGGAACCTACACCTTCAATATCGCGCTTAACAGTGGCTTTATGGTGAGTTTTACGGAGTTTATGATCCAGGCTCTGCCTTCTACTGGCTGCTTCCTTTACTGCTGGGGAGGGGATGGAGGGGCTCATGCTGGTAATAGGCTCTTAATTCAAGGAACTGGAGCTACCTGATTACCTTCCATTTTTCAGGTTTTCTGACTCCAGTCGGTTTAGCTTTCTTATAAAAATAATAGTTAAAATTCATATATACAAACATTGTTACAATAGAGCAAGAAGAATCACTCAGAGAAACTTGTCTGGCGACATCAGTATAATTTCTCAGACTTCGGAGAGTACTGGAGATTGTTTTCCATGGAAAACGGGGTTGATCTCTTCTATACTACGGATAGCAACAGAGTTATCATACTGTAACTCGCAAAAGTTAATTTGCTATGACAGAGCGAGGATTGCCAGACTTTAGTGGGAAAGGAACTGGGATTACCAAAGGTCTCAGCGATACAGTGTTAGTCAGGGTACATGTTAGGGCCACAGTTCGAGAGTGTATGTGGACACACACACACACATACACACATACACACACACACACCACACACACACACACACACACACACACACACACACACACACACACACACACACACACACACACACACACACAACAAGACTAGTCCCAGAGCTAAGAGGTATGTCCTACGAGGAGAGGTTAAGGGAAATCAACCTGACGACACTGGAGGACAGGAGAGATAGGGGGGACATGATAACGACATACAAATACTGAGAGGAATTGACAAGGTGGACAAAGACAGGATGTTCCAAGAATTGGACACACAAAAACAAGGGACACACGTTGGAAGCTGAAGACACAGATGAATCACAGGGATGTTAGGAAGTATTTCTTCAGCCACAGAGTAGTCAGTAAGTGGAATAGTTTGGGAAGCGATGTAGTGGAGGCAGGATCCATACATAGCTTTAAGCAGAGGTATGATAAAGCTCACGGTTCAGGGAGAGTGACCTAGTAGCGACCAGTGAAGAGGCGGGGCCAGGAGCTTGAACTCGACCCCTGCAACCTCAACTAGGTGAGTACAACTAGGTGAGTACACACACACACTGGGCATGTCCTACAAGGAAAGGTTAAGGGAACTCGACCTGACTACACTGGAGGAAAGGAGGAACAGGGGGGAATGGTAACGACATATGAAATGAGAGAGTGGACCTAGTGGCGACCAGTGAAGAGGCGGGGCCAAGAGCTATGAATCGATCCCTGCAACCACAATTAGGTGAGTACACAATCACACATTCAATCTAGGTACATTAGCGTCAAGGATGTTGAATGATCAGGTGAGAGATTACACTGGTAAGGGAAGGTTGACTTAAAAAATGCTGTGAGGTACACGGAACGTTTTCTGACATTTGATTTTTTTTCCCTCGACCAGTTGGTCCCAAGAGTTCTATACTGAGGTCTTACTGAAGTCTTACTAAGGTCATACTGAGGTCTTGCTGAGGTCTTACTGAGGTCTTACTGAGGTCTTACTGAGGTCTTACTGAGGTCTTGCCGAGATCTTACTGAGATCTTACCGAGGCCTTGGTCTTACCGAGGTCTTCCTGAGGTCTTCCTGAGGTCTTACTGAGATCTTACTGAGGTCTTTCTGAGGTCTTACTGAGGTCTTACTGAGGTTCTACTGAGGTCTTACTGAGGTTTTACTGAGGTCTTACTGAGTGAGGTCTTACTGGATCTTATAGGTCTTACTGAGCACAGGTTTTACTGAGGTGTTACTGAGGTTCTACTGAGGTCTTACTGAGGTTCTACTGAGGTCTTACTGAGGTTCTACTGAGGTCTTACTGAGGTTTTACTGAGGTCTTACTGAGGTCTTACTTAGGTCTTACTGAGGTCTTACTGAGGTCTTACCGAGGTGTTACTGAGGTGTTACTGAGATGTTACAGAGGTGTTACTGAGGTGTTACTGTAATGTTAATTCTTGGAACAATGTGTTGAACTCCGTAATAACATTCTGTAACTGTTCAACATATGGAACACATATGAATATCTATATTAACGAGACGTATCACCTAGGCAGCAGACTTTACCAATCAAATACGAAACTCAGTTTAATACTGGAGAGAGTGGAAGCAGTGGAAAGGTAGTGTTAAGTTGCTCAGTCATAACTGAAGGTTATACTTGACAGTTATATCATGTCTTGCAACTCTGTGTAATTTATATCATGTCAGGAAAAAGGCAACTGTTCGGTTTTCTTGTGGAAAATGTTAATGGAAAAATATAAAAAACATGAGAAAAGGGGCCAAATAAATTGAAATGAAAATTCTAACAAGACCTTCACTTAATAAATTAATCCGAGAGGCAAACAAAACAATAAACGGAGAAAGATAAGTTATTTATAAAATTCAATTAAATATTAAGCCTCAACCAGAGAAGCGAACACATGTCTGTAGATATGTCCTGGGGACAAAATGTGTCAGAGACAATAACCGAAGTTCTCCCCAAGGTGAAGAAACTGTACTATCAGTGCAGCTGGAGTGTCAAGAGTGCCACGATGCCACAGGCAGGTCATTGATGAAGGATGTCCAGAAGGTGGAGATATGGCAAGATTGTTCAGAGGTGAGAAAGGATGGAAACGGTTGATTATGGGAGGGAAGACAACTGAGGTAATGACAATAATAAGAAGATAAGATTTCGTTCGGATTTTTAACCCCGGAGGGTTAGCCACCCAGGATAACCCAAGAAAGTCAGTGCGTCATCGAGGACTGTCTAACTTATTTCCATTGGGGTCCTTAATCTTGTCCCCCAGGATGCGACCCACACCAGTCGACTAACACCCAGGTACCTATTTGCTGCTAGGTGAACAGGACAACAGGTGTAAGGAAACGTGTCGAAATGTTTCCACCCGCCGGGAATCGAACCCGGGCCCTCCGTGTGTGAAGCGGGAGCTTTAGCCACCAGGCCACCGGGCCACCGGGCTGGTGTCCTGGTGGCTTCTGTTCAACATATGTGCAGTCAGCTGACCGAAACAAAAAATAATTTCTAGACAAATTATCCATATCCCTGAAGCTTACAAGTAACACACAAAAAAAAAGATCACAACCCCTTAACATTCGTCAGCCTTTGAAATCTGCCGAAGTTTACCTTAAAATAATGCACAATATAGGGACAAAAAGCAGCAGAACCTTTGTAACAACGTCCAAGATATGACTGTACGAGAATTAAAAGAGAGAACCTTGATGCGCAACTGTGACCTAAAGTGGTCGACTCACCACGCAGGTAGAGTGATCGATGTATATCGAAGGCAGAATGTATGAAAGAGAATGTTAATAAGATTATGAATTCTATGATATTTTGCTGAGAAGATGTTTCGCCCACCAGAAATTTCATTAATTCTCAAAAATTGTTAATGTCTAACATATGGATACACAAAAGGCCTAGGAACTAGGCCTCAAAAGGGTATGCAAGAGTAAATCCGGACTGACATCTACAGTTCGCTTCTCTTGTAAGCAAATTTAGGAAATTCCGGTATCTTATTTTCATTAATAAGATATCTTGACATATCACATAGGTTATTATAATGTCTCTATATTCCTCAACAAATGGACAATTAAGCACATAGTGTTCAAGATAATGGCAATAGGGTTTGATCAACATCATTTGTGTGTCTGGTAAACTGCCAGAAGTACTTATAACCAAGTGTAAGATCATGGCCGCTACAGCATCAGTCTGTGCACTTTGTAAGTTGTTCCATAAACGTACTTATCTACGTTCGTGTTATCATAGTGGATGATAAATCTACGTCTTCGTAATGAATACAATACCATAAAGTGTTGTGTCTATCAATGGAAGAGTTAGTATGTTTGTAAGTACTGTGTAAGTCTATCAGAACAGTTGAAGGAGCCACATCATTATAAAGGAGTCATATCATTATGAAGGAGCCACATCATTATGAAGGAGTCATATCATTATGAAGGAGCCACATCATTATGAAGGAGTCATATCATTATGAAGGAGCCACATCATTATGAAGGAGTCACATCATTATGAAGGAGCCACATCATTATGAAGGAGCCACATCATTATGAAGGAGCCACATCATTATGAAGGAGCCACATCATTATGAAGGAGCCACATCATTATGAAGGAGCCACATCATTATGAAGGAGCCACATCATTATGAAGGAGCCACATCATTATGAAGGAGTCACATCATTATGAAGGAGCCACATAATTATGAAGGAGCCACATCATTATGAAGGAGCCACATCATTATGAAGGAGCCACGTCATTATGAAGGAGCCACATCATTATGAAGGAGTCACATTATTATGAAGGAGCCACATCATTATGAAGGAGCCACATCATTATGAAGGAGCCACATTATTATGAAGGAGCCGCCACATCATTATGAAGGAGCCACATCATTATGAAGGAGCAACATCATTATGAAGGAGTCACATCATTTATGAGGAGCCACATCATTATGAAGGAGTCACATCATTATGAAGGAGCCACATCATTATGAAGGAGTCACATCATTATGAAGGAGCCGCCACATCATTATGAAAGAGCCACATCATTATGAAGGAGCCACATCATTATGAAGGAGCCACATCATTATGAAGGAGCCACATCATTATGAAGGAGCCACATCATTATGAAGGAGCCACATCATCATGAAGGAGTCACATCATTATGAAGGAGCCACATCATTATGAAGGAGTCACATCATTATGAAGGAGTCATATCATTATGAAGGAGTCACATCTTTATGAAGGAGCCACATCATTACGAAGGAGCCACATCATTATGAAGGAGTCACATCATTATGAAGGAGCCACATCATTATGAAGGAGCCACATCATTATGAAGGAGTCACATCATTATGAAGGAGTCACATCATTATGAAGGAGTCACATCATTATGAAGGAGCCACATCATTATGAAGGAGCCACATCATTATGAAGGAGTCACATCATTATGAAGGAGTCACATCATTATGAAGGAGCCACATCATTATGAAGGAGTCACATCATTATGAAGGAGTC